GAGCAGAATATGCCTTTTGATGTCACAATCTAAAAGTTGTTTGCTATTTCATAGTTTCATAGAGTAACTCAGATGATAATTTAGATACCATACAAGTTCACTCAGGACTTGAATCTAATTATTACCACTGATGACCATTATCTTAAAAGTTGCTTGTAATTTGAGAGTTTTAGAGAGTAACTTGAGTGATAATAAATATTCTGTTCAATAAGTCTCAATTCCTGAAATAGATTATTCATTATTTTTACACATTACTGTTATGTATTGTTTAGGCACCACTGTTGACAAGTATTTATTTGCAAGACATTAATAATAATTATTAGTATCACCCAACTAGTGGACTAATGCAAATCCTTCATTTTGATTGGCTACACTACTAGGGGACTATTAGTAATAGTCCTCGAGTAGCGAAATTGGCGCCATCGAGCGTGACGTTTTCTTTCGTTTTATTCCCAAATAAATATTTCTTCAACTTTCATTTGCTAACTTTATCATTACCTTTTCTGTCCGACTAGTTGGTTGATACTAAAACAATTAGACCCTTCGCCCTCAAGGGCCATGGGTCAATAGCCCATTTGGCTTCACCTCATGGGCTATTGACCCGTAGCCCGCAAGGGCTACGGGTCTAATTGTTAAATATTTATTGGCATTGATTAGTGTTAAAATGTATGTTTGTAAACTCTACTCTGAAGTCTGCTTCCCACTTGCGCACAAGAATAGGCACAAGGACATTCCCTCTCAAAACTGCACAGAGTGTCCAGTTCTTATATCTCTGTTTGTGCTAATGGCACAAAAGGTCCTTGACTAAATACCTTCTCACCAACATTACTTTGTAGAGTACACACAATGTTTCTGATGCTTGTACTGAGTGCACAAGCAGGAACAAGGTTTAAGGGAAGAGTTACAATACAAGTACCTCTAATCTCGCCACTGAAGGATAAGAGACATCAGCTCTTTCCGTAACTTGTCCATGTTTTCAAACTTCCAAAGAAATGAGGGGTGACGGTTTCCACTAGATATTATATCTCTCACAGTCAGAATAACTCCAACACCTCAGCTTCCGGAACCTACACCTGTTTTGATCTGAGCTGGCATGTTGATACGTGGCAATGGAAGATTCAACTGGTTCCACTGTTCCTCATCAAAACTAGCATCATCTGAAAGGGCTCTGCAACCACCCAGCATGCTCCTTATTACAGTGGAAATGTCTCTTGGTGGAGAAATCCTGAGACCATCATCAAAGTACACTGTTTTTCTTGAATACTCAAAGCAAAGCAATCCCCAGTGTTTGGGAGTTTCAAAATGCACTGGTGCCAAAATGCATTCCACATCTTGCACTTTACAGTGGCCAAAAAAACCGATTTACCCTCTGCCTGAAATACTGCACACCTTGCCTTGCCCACGTCTGACTGTATGTTGGCAAGTAAACAACTTTAGTGGGCAAACACTCATGTAAAAGTTTTAAGCACACTGTATCTATGGTGAATCCATTGACATATCGTTTGCATGCCAATGTGCTAAAATCATGGACATCAATAATAAAAAAGCCCTGCCTTAAAATTTCATCATGGGGTCTAGAGTTTTCTAGAATGTCTTGGATTTTATTGATGACTGACAAGTTTTCCTTCTCTCGTGAAAACCAGTTTCTTTCTTGTTGTAGGCTTGACAGCATCTGATTGAAGGATGCACATGTTTTGGAAAATTTTCATTGATGCCAATGTAAATGTACCGAGTTTACCAACCCTGACTAATGTTTCACTGCTGCCGTCGCTATCATTCACTCTGCAATTGTTGACTGTCAGCATATCCATAGCATCCTTTACTATACTTTCAGCAGGACGCATGTTAACAAGATGTGGGTCACTGACTTCACTGCCACTTTCAACAAGCTGAACCTCTTTGGGTGATACAAAGACCACTTTTGGAAACTTCAAGGATGCTCGTTCACCAGGAGTGAGATGGTTAATGCTGTCATATCTGAAGGTAGCTTGGAAATGTTTCTTTCCTTGCTTCATTTCAACAGAGGTCTTTTCCTTGCCTTCAGACCCTATGTCAGGGATTACTCTTCTGTTTGCTTTGCTCTCTGGTTTGTAGCCGGCCTTGTGATTGCTGCAATCAAGTTTGCTGCTAGTTTTACATGTATAACCGGATTATCATTTGGTTCACAGTCAGAATTACTGAGAGGGTTGCTGGAAGGTCTGGTGTCAGGAGTGCTGATTGGTTGGCAGTCAGGATTGCTGACAGGGTTGCTGGAAGGTCTGNTAACCAGGATTATCATTTGGTTTGCAGTCAGAATTACTGACAGGGTTGCTGGAAGGTCTGGTGTCAGGAGTGCTGATTGGTTGGCAGTCAGGATTGCTGACAGGGTTGCTGGAAGGTCTGGTGTCAGGAGTGCTGCTTGGTTTGCAGTCAGGATTGCTCACAGGGCTACAGGCACGATTGCTGACAAGGCTGCTGATTGGTTGGCTGTCAGGATTGCTGACAGGGTTGCCGGAAGGTCAGGTGTCAGGAGTGCTGCTTGGTTTGCAGTCAGGATTGCTGACAAGGTTGCTGGAAGGTCTGGTATCAGGAGTGCTGCTTAGTTTGCAGTCAGGATTGCCAACAGGGCTACAGGCATGATTGCTGGCAGGGTTACTGATTGGTTGGCAGTCAGGATTGCTGACAGGATTGTCATCAAAATCACTTCCAGGTTTACAAGCATGGTCGATACAAGGTTTTCTGTCACTATTAACACTGAAATAGTATGACTTTTCCCACTCGCCATGATCATACCTCATGAGTGGGAATTGACCTGGAACCAGGACACAGTGCTTTTTCTCTGTGTATTCATAATTACAGTAGTCTGGACCAAATAAATCAGACAGCAGTTGATCTATCCTTCCAATCCATGCTTGTTCTTCCCCTGACCAGGTCATCCTTTTGGGCCTCCATCCACATCCTCGATAGTAGAAGGGCTTTCCTAAAACAAAAAAAGCCATACAAGAGGCCTGTGAGGTGTGTCTGAATAATTGCATTTTTGTATTTCATATAACTATTATTTTATTCAACACTCTTCACTTTTCATTGGCAGAACATAAATCTTCACTTTCATGAACAAAAATTCCATGCAACAGGAAAATTTCGTTTTTGTGCAGGAATTTTCATTTCAAGTACTCAATGCTTCATCAGTATAAAGCAGCGTTCAATTTTAGACACACTATCTAGAGAGGGTAAGTGTAAAATGAAACCTGCAGAGGATGGTGTAAAATTGTTCAAGTATTCTAAAGAAGAGTTTGCCATGTGGCTGGACTTTGGCAATATCTGAAGCTCAGTCTGCCAGCAGCACTGTTGCAAATGACATATAACAGGGATAGTATCAAGATGTTACAAATTGGAAATTGGAAATTTGTAACAAATTGGAAGCAAATTATATTCACCACAAAGGAACCAACAAAAGGTATAAATACCTGTAGCAATGCAGCCTTTAGCCTCTTTGAAAGCTAGTCTCATGTCGAGCAGCATCTCTGTATAGAGGTGTGTGAGGATTTGATCCACTGAAATAGATTATGTACATTTAAGACTTAATTAATACAACAATTTAGTTTGGGGAATTTTTTGGTTTATATGTTCTGGCAATTAATTATGCACAATTTACTCTATGAAGGTGAATCTCAACTGGCTTAAATCACCATCTACCTGATTTACTACCCTATTACCCTGCAGTTTAAGTTTACTAATGACAAAGATATTCCAGTCTATGACTGAATTCGACTCATTCTGATTCTAAATTATTAATATATTCTCTGATTTGTGGTTCTTAAGGTCAAAACAGTAATCACCAAGAAACATGCTAGATACAGGTGTATCTGTGAGTGCTGTTATCATCATGATGGAAAATATAGAAAAAACCAACAACACTTACAAGTATTTATTTTAGCCTCTTTTGAGTATCAAGTTTGGAACACCCCAGTACAAATTGAAATAAACTTACATGATGCAGTGTTGCCTGATGAATCATGTGACGTTGCTCTGGCATACAGCTGTCGCTGTAATTTGTGAGCCGCTTCAAATCCCTGGTTGGATAGGTGATGAAGAGAGCGATGCACTCTAAAAAGCATTGGAACATGTTCTACCGTTAGGTGGCCATAATCACCTGTTCCTAGACTGCTCCCAAACATCTCCAGGAGGAGGAAACCCCACTTTTCGCACTAGAAAAGATTGACATTTTCAAGTTAAAACTCATCATAACAATTTTTTTTTATTTGCATTATTTGTATTGACTGTCTTCCACCAACATGACACTGGTAATGCAAGTAACACATTTCTATGGGAAATATTGTACTAGTGTTCATGTACATGTATAAAGAATGTTAAACCAGTTTCAAACACAAATCATTACGACTCCAAACAAGCTGATGCCACACTAAAAGAAAGCTCTAAAGGATAATAAGTTCCATTAAAGTGCTCCAACCTTGACGTCAAAAATGTCGATCAAGTGTTCCTCATTTGCTTTAAATTCTCTGTCTCTCATTATTAGAGCAATTTCCTTCCAAAGGGAGCAAACCTAAGAAAGTCAAAAGTGACACATGATGGTTAATTGAAAGTCTGTTTGGTCAATGAATAGGCACATAACAACCCCTCTTTCTATCCGAGAATTAAGCAAGCCAAATCATTGCAAAATTCATAAATAAACAGTGTTGAAAAAGAATTAGAATTAAATTGGCGCACGTTGGATAGGAGATGGTGAGTAACCAACAAGGTGTGTAGCGCAAAGTTGGGTACAACCAGTCACACATCCAACAAGCATGAAAGTAAACCTCACCATTGTTAGAAATTCCTTCGTTAGTGTGCCAGCATAGCAACTCAGCTCCCGATTTTCCTCCTTCTGAGGTTTCCTTCCCTTTCTGGCCTTAACTGTCTGAATGGGTTGATAAAGAACTTTAAACTGACTTTCAATGTCCTCTTGTTTTTGCTTCCAGAAATCTATGCGATTCTGCAACTCCATACTGACATCTATACAGACACCAAAAATTAACCAAAAATCATTAACAATGTTGAAACCTTTTCAGCCAACCAATTAACATGCTGTAATCAACCACAGAAGTTTCTGTTAGGACCTGAAATAAAAGAATTAGAAGCTGTTGCCTCCATCAAGCTGACTTTGATAAGTTAAACAAACATCATATTATACCTGAATTTTGCAACTTGACCTCTTCTAGTCTTTTGCCAAAGTCACAGACAAAAATCCCACTTTTAAACATTTCCCTGTAGTACTACCAAGAAAACAAGACAATCTAAGCTTTTGCATTATATCCACTGACAAATTAAATTAATATACATGTAGCATGCACTATGAGTAGTTTTGTATTTTAGAGTGCAGGTAAAATACAAAATGAACACTTTTGTTTGCAAAATGCATACTCCATCTTGAGTTTGAAGCACTATTATTCTCCACAAGGAGACCTACAGATATACAGTATATCACAATTTAAGATCCAAAGAATCAAAGTTCAACATTAATTTTCATGGATCATTTATCCTGATGGGTTTAATCATACCAAGACTGACTGTTATGAAATACAATGAATGTACACTGTATGAGATGTCACAAGACAGCAAACATTTTGGATAGTCTGCTCAAAAACAGACAGTGGCAGTGCAGCATAATTACATTCGAAGAAGGAGAAGACATCCAAAATTAAATTTTGATAAGATTATTGAATTTTGGCTCATTGTGTGTGTTGGCAAAATGAATCGAGATTTTTTTGTCTGTAAGCGACACCAAAATAGCCGCCCCGAAGATTCTTTTGTGGTTTGTAGATTATGAGATGCAGAACTAGTACAACTGAAAACAAATACTATACATTCCAAGTCCAGAGAGAAGCAATACCTTTTGACGTGCTTCGCAGAAAGAGATTTTATTGAGGATACACATTTTGGCTGCCTCTGGGTCTTGATAATGAACTGCTAGCTTTTCATTAGGCAGGGACACTTCAACTATCTTTTCCATTGCTGAGAGGATTTTACGTTCAGTGGAACCTTAAGAAATCAATTAAAAAATTGTAAGTGTACAGACTTAGTGCATGTGAAGTTGCCCCCCACCCCCATCATTTAGGGTGCATTCATTTGGCTGTACAATGATTTCTAAAATCTCTTATCGAAGGTTTTGGAATCATTGATGCTTAATCATCATGATCATCATGATCATCATGATCATCATGATCATCATGATCATCATGGCTAGCACAATTGAAAACAGAATGATATATAACAATTACCTGAAAACGAAGAAACAGAAACATTGTTTCTACCCAGAGCTGTTTGTTGTCCAGGTTTTAATTTCACAGTGATCCGATCTGAGTGGAAGTTCTCTGGACCAAATTTGGATAACTCCTCCTTACACTGTTTGAGAGAACCTATCTCATAAGCAAGTAAACCCACACTCTTTAATAGCTGCTCAGTGTTCCGCATTTCGCAGTGAAGAGCACAAAGGCACATCGAGGATAGTTCTTCATCAAGTATGCACAATAAGTCATCTCGCAAACCTTTAAATCTGAAAAGTACAATAACCAAGATCTTAACAGCATAGGGTATCATTTGGTTTTGACCAACTAATCAGTGCCAGTGGCATGATGTTTCACATCGAAACCTCTTGGTTATATGCCATATCATTATTTTGATGTGCTACCTTATACATGTAGTATGGACAATATCCAGACTTTCCTTCAATATTTGCCATGCTAAAATTCAACCAAGTGACTCAGGAATTAAAAAAAGATCTGCTGCTACATCAAAATAAACTTGTTGATTGCAACTGGACTAAACTGATAAAATCAAAACAATCATGTAGCCTTGCAACATTGAATACTACATACCCTCCAATGTTAGCTTTGGTTTGAAGGAGGTGCTCCAAACAAACCTCATGTCTCCCCAAATCACAATCACAGGCCTGAGGGAAAAAATATCACATAAAGAAAGTAAAATACCTCACCTTTGAATCTTTCATCATAAAAAAAAGATGTACCTAGGTATTTGAACACCAAGCTCATTTTCACATGTGCAATATCTTTGAGGAAAATATCAACAGATTAACCTCCAAGAAAAACCAAAGTTTATCTGAGTTCAAAATGATTTTCCAAGACACAGTGGAGGAAGGTAAAAACCAAAACTACATGTACTGTATACCTCTTGATATGGCATGTTGAGTAGCTTATCTATTAGTGCAGCTTATACACAACTGTTAATGGTACCACTGGCTGTAGTTTAATGTGTGCCCTTAGGGTTGTTACACTTACATTTTTTTAAGCCAACGTAAGGTGGTAGCCTAAAAAACTTACCCTCAAAGCCAAACAGAAAATGCAAAACTCAATAGCAAGTCCATGTCCACCAAGAACAAAGTGCTCATCCCCAATCTTAGCCATTAGAAGTAGCAAACCTTTGTAATCAAGAGTTACTATACAAACATAAACAAAGAAAAGGACTGGAGTGAATTAGCAATTACAGCCTTAATTATACAAAAAA